CTCCGATGCAGCCCTGCAAAAAAAAAAAAAACAGGGATGGTTTCTGAGGACAACCCGAAAAAGGGTTAATTTAGATTTACATCCACCCTAAACCCTAAACCCTAAACCCACCTGGTTGAAGCTGACATGTTCCTCATGCCTCAGCCAGTTTGGGGTTTAGGGGGTTGGGGTTTTAAATCCTTTGTGTGTTCACAAGCTTCAGCCTACGAACCTAAGCCTTGAGACTTGAGACCCTTAATCCTAAACTATACTGATTTAGGGTTTAGGGTTTAGGGTGGGTGCTAGGGTTTAGGATTTAGGGTTTTGGGTTTAGGGTACATCAGACTGGAACCCTAAGCCCTAGATCGAAACCTTGCCCTTCTCATGAGACCAGGAGCTGGAACGTTGGCCAGATTTTGGGCCAGCGTCTGACCGGTGACCTGGGCCGGAAAAGCTGAAGCCGCACGGTTCGCGGTTTAGGGCTTGTCCTATTGCATTGGACTATAATAATAAGGGGGATTTAGTAACCCCGACCCCTGCCTTAAGGACACACGAACTAGCCTATGACCGCAGAAAGGTCCTAATTCCAGGGGTTGCGGTAAGTATTAACCTTTCGTTCATATACAAAGAAATATGAGCAATTTGTGGCTTTAGGATTTGCAATTTTAGAGTTTAGGGGTTATAGTGTGGGGTTTGGGCTGCCGAGGGTTAAAGCGGTAGAGTGATGAAGTGAAGTGGATGGAAGCTTGGACCCTATAGGGTTCAGCACGAAGGCATTGCATGCAGGCCTAAACATACGGAACGATGATTCTGCAAGGACTATAAGGGCACAGTTTGCTATTTATTCCGTTTTCCACCTGAAGAGGATGAAGCCTTGGCTTTGAGAGCGTTTTCACTAGACCTTGGGGTGTTGCATGAACCCCACGCCTTGGTCCCCAAAATGCAGCCCAAAGTTTTAAAAGGCTCACCGCCAGCATCACTAAACCCTACTGGGTGGTCTGTGTACTTATAGCCCTATAAGCCTTATAATCCCACCCCGTAAATATCCAATTATCCCCACCAGGAGCCTACTTACCAAGTCCCCCTGACCCCTCAAGCAGGCCCTGCACTCCTCTCTGAGTAGGGGCCCCACAGTGAGGCAATCTCCGTGCAGCCAGCCCAGCTTCAGCAGGTACTTCATGACAGCTGGGATGCCGCCGATGCGATGGACATCCTGGCACCCGAGGCACGATATTAATGGCACCATAATAATATAGCCTTGACTGCATGATTCCTGTCAAACTTGCGATTGATCTTAGACATCGCCCCATTCATTGAAGCGACTCCCGAAGGCTCCGGTGATGATAAGCCCGCACAGGCCCTGAGGGCTTTAATTTATCGCGGATGTACGGTGTGGGGCTGAAGCATGTTCAGCGGCATGTAGGTTCAATAGCTGAGTGATCATCCTGCCCCTGCATAGTATATATACCCTCAGCCCTAAAAAGCGCTATAGGCTCAGACTTTCGTGCTGCTTCCTGGTCACCGCTTGACCTCTCGACACAAAACCGAAGCAGACCCTAGGCAAAGAAGGAGCCGGATGCAACAAGGCTCTATATAGGGGACCTTGGGAGCTTGACGAAGTTAGGCCAGCACGCCTCCAAAGCGCACCCTTTCTTTAGAATCCATCATTCATGACATGATTGAGCCCCAGGATCTACGCTTTACAGTATGTGCAGGAGGCATAACTGTCACTAGTAAGTAATCATCCCATAGGTTTTTCTCAAGTACAGCATCAAACAAGTTATACGTGACTTATAACAGTCTAGGCCTTCTTACTTGAGCATATGAACGCTCGATGAAACTACTTTCATGGAACCTCTTCAAGACAAGCCTTAAGTGATCCCTAAGCGGGATTCCGCAAGATCCGCTTGCAAGTCTCCACGCCCCGACTTTTTTGGGGTGCACAGGCCAGCCCTGTTTTGAGATTCTCCATCCGTACTGATGGGTCGGATGGCCTGCTCCTCATAGTGGAAATTGAGGAGAGAAGACTTCTCATGGGAACAGTGAGACCCTGATGTAGACCTGTGGTGAAGAAACCCTCTCCTGTTCATAGGGATTATAACAGGGATCCTAATATTAAGGCCCTTAAAAGGAGGGGGGGTTATTAATCAGTGGTCTACATTACACTCTGCGTCCAAGCCCGGACCTCCATCCTGTACTTTCCGCTGGGCTTCAAATCGGCCACCAGCGATGTCTTGTCGCTTATCCGTTGGAAGTCGTCGATTTTGAGCTCAATCTCAGGGTGCTGTGCATAACTAAGCGGGCACTTGAATCAACGATCTCAAGCCCATGTCTACTACTTACAACGATCACTCATGCCCAGAATGTGAGACGAAATGTGAACAAGCAGGTTTCTGCAGCCTACAGTAGACGTTTGCTCTTAACAGGGGGTGCAAGACCAAATCCTTGCCAAATATTCCTCGGAAACTTTATCTGAGCTATAGTCTAAACTCCTAGTATCCCCCTTAATAACCCCTATAGTAGTCCCCTAATCCCCTATATATCCCCCCTTTCAGGAGTTTAGACTATGGTTCATATGAGTCCCAGCTTTAAAGCTTCTCGCCCGTATTGCAGTGAGATGTGCTACTGGAACACACACACGCCATCCACGGCTTAGGGGTTGGGGTCTCGGGTTTCAGAGAATCTGATTTTTGTGATGATTGCACCCAAATATTGAATGATTTCTGAACGGAAGGTAGAACGTGCATCCTTGGTCACATCCCATCCTGAGTACGTCTATCTGTACGGTATCGATATCCATATCTATATATGACATGCCCCGCGCATGGGAGTCTCCAAACGGGCCCCCTTGTATAAAGGAGAACGTTACAAGACATAATGTTATTCCGACCCTTAAAGGGGACCACCAGTTTCTACAAGCACTAACCCCGAATGTCTGATCCCAATTACCTAATACCTAATCTATAAGTCCGAATCCCGAAGCCCAACCCTCTAAAACAAGCCCTTAAATCCTTATCTCGAAGCCCAAATCTGAAAACGCCTAATCCCTAAACTTATCTGTAAATGCTAATCTCTAACACTTGATCTCTAAATCCTGATCTCTACACCCCAAACCTCAAGCTTCAAACCCTAATCCCTACACCCTAATCGCCCTAAGCCCTAAACCCTGAACCCTAAACCCCCAAATCCTAAACCCCAAATCCTAAACCCTAAATCCTATAGCAGGCATCGGCCAGAGAACCATGCTTACATTTGGGTCTCCTTGTGTCTATAGTCCCTGAAGTAGATAGAGTATGGCTT